TCCCGCCACCCCCCCAATCCCCCCACCAGCGCCATCCGATCCCATTCCAGTGAAAGCAAAGCCCCGCCCACGGCCCGCCCACCCCCGTTACCAAGGCAACAAGGCTCGCTGGAGACCACGCCCCCGCCGGATAGCCACGCCCCTGCTCGAGGCCCCTCCCCGTCGACCCGCAAACGCCCGCTCCTTACCCGGGAGACGCTCTCCTCACCGCCCAGCGTGCGTAGCATCTTCCCCACGTCGCGCACCGCGCCCGGGTACTCCACGCACACCAGCCGTCGCTCCCGCTGCAGCTCCACCGGCACCGCGGCCCGCGGCGCCGCGTCGTTCGCCGCCATCCCTACCCGCTTGGCGGGGCCCGCCACAGTCCGTCCCTCAGAGCACCCCCGGAGGCCTCGCCTCAAAGGTTCCGCGAAGGAATCGTTCCGGACCGCCTCCCCGTCCGCCCTAAATCCCTGGGCTCGGCTAGACTCGAAGCCTCCGGGGACCAGGCGCCCGAGGAGGCTGCACGGCGTCGAGGTAAACGACACCGTGTTGTCGACTTTTCGTTTAAAATGAAGAGGGCTGGACAAAGGCGTGGGACCAGGCTTCTCTTTTCCACCCAGCGAGACTCTAGCCAATGAGGAGCTCGGAGGAGGCCAGGTCCCTAGGTAGCAGCCAATACGAAGACAGGAGCTGGGGACCCTGCTAGCTTCCGGTGGTTTCGCCCAATGAGGGTTTGAGAGCGGGACAGAGTCTGACTTCCGGCCCGCCTCCTAGCTGGCGGAAGGGCTAAACGCTGAATGGTGAATTGGTGTCGGGTGTCTGGGGTCTGGTCTGCGGGGCTCCGGCCTCCGGAGCTGGCTTCTGAGCTGCAGTTTGGGAGTTCGTGTGTGGAAATTGCCGGAGCCAGGGATTTGTTCGCCACATGCCACACACACCCCCAACAGAAGACCCCAGAGGGTCACGCGCCGGAGTGGGACTGGGGGCAGGCGTCCTGGGCCTTGTGTTACACGGGCCTGTGTTAATCGCCGCTGGGGTCCGCGGGCTTCAAGGGTTTTATACTGGGAGACTGTTACCGTTTTATGTTTTTGTGTATGGAAAATGGACCTGAGAGGCGAGAGTGCATTCAAATGAACCGATTGAAATCCAGACAAGAAGGGACTGGATTTGAGGGTGTTAGGAGTTGAAAACCAGTAAGACAAGTGACCCCTTGGATATGGGCACCCGAGCAGTTGAAGGCCCAGAATAAATGGCTGCAAGCTAGGGTGCTGGGAAGGTGGCTCGGTGGTAGACAGCTTGCCTGGCATGTGTGAGGCCCTGAGTCGATTCCTCAGCATCACATACACAGAAATGGCCAGAAGGGGCTCTGTGGCTCAAGTGGTAGAGTACTAACCTTGAGTAAAAGAAGCTCAGGGACAGGGACAGTGTTCCAAGCCCTGAGTTCAAGCCCCAGGACTGGAAAAGACAGCAAAGAAAAAGTCTTGGTAGTCCCTGACCTGCCCAGCAGGGACAAGGGATTGGTGTCAAAAGGCCAAAATCTTCCACACCCAGGGATAAAATTTCTTTGCAAATGTCCTTTTCTTGTTTTCTACTGCCCGAGAAATCTGATGATTTTTTTCAAAAAGTGTGGAAATGAATAACAGTTGTAAATTACTAGATCAGCATTTTTACATCAGACTCTTGCTGAATGGTGATAAGGCCACTTGCACTGGAGCCTTCAATCCAACTGTAGGTCAGGGCCTGGTCACAGGAAGCAAGGCTCATCCCGTACAACAGTGTCACCAAAGTCTACTGATGCCAAGGAGAGGGGCTGTGGGTGAGGGGAAGACAAGAGCCAACCTCAGAGCATCAAACCACTTTTCCTAAGGACTTAGACTTGTGCTGAGACTGGGACTCAGAGTGGCAGAGAGGTCAGAGGCAGGAGCAGGGCAGTGAGGACAGACTGCATGCACAGGCCCAGTTAGGCATCCTACTGTGTGCTGCTAGACTCAAATGACTTCCCTGAGAAAAGACCGTCAGCCCCTGCTGCCTTCCCACCCCCCAACCCACATCTGAGTCATAGTTAGCAGAGAAGTCAGAAGACTGGTGAGCTCAGTGGTGGTGCATGTGCTTAACGTGTAAGGCCCTGAGTTTGATCCCCATGGTTCCTCAAAACACCTATTGATAACAAATAATGACAGTCCCCGTGTATTTTGCCTGTTTTTCCAGTAATCAGCAATGCCAGGCCCGTTTTCCCATTGGGCACCCGTGCCCTCCTCTAAACCCAGGGAGTAGCAAACTGCATTCTCCACTTAGGCCTTCGCAGAGTCAGATCCTCCTTGGGGAGTAGGCTGCCCTGCTGTGAGCACGGAGGTGTTGGTGCCCCCTTTTGTTGTGCCAGCCTAAGTGCTGAGGAAGCTCAGGCCCAGTCTTCAGATGTCCCAGCATCCAGCCCAACACTGAGCCCCTGTCATCTGATATTCTGAGGTGGGGGAGGGGGAGACACACAGCTGTCCTGACCTTTGAGGTGACCCAGAGCAGTGGAGGGGACTGCTGGCTGATAGCAGTACTAAATCCCACAGGACAAGTGTGGGGAAGCCGCCAGACACATCTGGCCATTCTAGTCCCCCTCTGGCCCTCCTGACTAGAGTCTTGAATATCTCCTTCTGTGGGGAACACAGATCTTCTTAGCAAGGGAAAGGAAATGGAAAATTGAGGGCTGAAGGTGTACTCAGTGCCAAGCACTTGCCTAGCATGAAACACCTGGGTTCAGTCTCAAACGTTGCAGAAACAATTCTTTGGAGTCCAGAATCTGACATTCCCTTAGGTGGTATGGCGGGTCTGTGGGGCATACAGTGGGTATTTAATGTTCTCTCTCCCTATTGAACTCTGCACCCCACATTCCAGGAAAGATGTAGTGTTCAATTATAGCCACGAGATGGCGACAGAGTACACAGGCAACACCTCCACCTGTGTTCACGCTGGGAGGGAGTGGAGGTGAGGAAAGGGACTAATAGGATTAAGCATCAGGTTCCCAAGTCCCTTGTCGTTGCATTCACATGGGCATGTTTTTTGGTTTTGGTGGGGTTTTGTGATGCTTGAACTCAGGACCAAGGTTCTGTCCCTCAAAGCTGACACTCTACCACTTGGAGCCACAGCACTGCTTCTAGTTTTCTGGTGGTTAATTAGAGATAAAAGTCTCACAGACTTTCCAGCATGGGCTGGCTTTGAATCCTAATCCTCAGATCTCAAGCTCCTGAGTAGCTAGGATTATAGGCGTAAACCACCAGCACCTCTCTTGGGAATATGTTTGTTTGTTTTCCAGCCTTGGGGCTTGAACTCAGGGCCTAGGCACTAACCTTGAGCTTCTTTTTTGTTCAAGTCTAGCGCTATTCCTCTTGAGCCACAGCACCACTTCCAGCTTGTTCTGTTTATGTGGTGCTGAGGAATCAAACGCAGAGCTTCACGCATGCTAAGCAAGCACTCTACCACTAAGCCACATTCCCAGCCCTGGGATTTTTTTTTTCTTGGTTAGTCATAGAGCTTGAACTCGGTGCCTGGGCGCTGTCCCTCAGCTCTTTAGCTCAAAGTGAGAGCTCTACTACTTTGCTACTTCCTGTTTTCTGAGTGGTTTATTGGAGATAAGAGTCTCATGGACTTTCCTGCCCGGGTTGGCTTTGAACCATGATTCTCAGATCTCAGCCTCCTCAGTAGCTAGGATTACAGGCGTGAGCCACCAATGCCGGGCTGGGAATATGTTTTTATAAGCTCAAAAACGTATTTTAAGGCCAGGCACTGGTGGCTCAAAATATATATAATATTTATATATATATATATTTATATAAACATTTATTTATATAAAATATGTGTAAACATACTTATATATACTTACATATAAATATGTATGTATATTGACCTAGTTTCTGTCATTTCTGCTTGTTTTGGGAGACCTGGATGCAGTTGTAGGATTGTGTTCCTGTGTGTATGTGTGTTGGTACTGGGGCTTGAATTCAAGCTCTCAGGCTCTCATGTTTAGCTTCTGTGCTCACGGCAGATGCTCTACCACTTGAGCCACACTTCCAGTCTTACATCTTATTGACTAATTGTAAATAGAATATTCTTTTTTTTGGTCGGCCCTGGGGCCTGAACTCTGGGCCTGGACACTGTCCCTCAGCTCTTCCGCACAAGGCTAGAGCTCTACCACTTGAGCCACAGCACCACTGCCGGTTTTTCTGCTTATGTGGTGCTGAGGAATCAAACCCAGGGCCTCATGCATGTAAGGCAAGCACTCTACCACTGAGCCACCTTCCCAGCCCCCTGGAAATAGAATCTTAAGGACTTTTCTTCCCTTTTTTTTTTTTTGTCGGTCATAGGGCTTGAACTCTGGGGCTGGACACTGTCCCTCAGCTCTTCAGCTCAAGGTCAGCACTCTATTACTTGAGCCTCAGTGCCACTTCCTGTTTTCCGGTGGTTTATTGAAGATAAGAAGCTCACAGACTTTCCTGCCCAGGCTGGCTTTGAACTGCTATTCTGAGATCTCAGTCTCCTGAGTAGCTAGGATTACAGGTGTGAGCCACCAGCCAGCAGTTTCTTAAGGACTTTTCTACCAGCTAGCTTTGAACCAGGTCTCAGGTCTCAGCTTCCTCAGTAGCTTGGATTAGAAGCATGAGCCCCTAGTGCCTAGCTTGTACAAGGGATTATAATAAGAGGAAGTGTGCTTGACTGCTTTTAGTTTAGATTCATGGAATGCATGGGCGTGGCTCACAATCACTTCCCTACTTGGTAAATTTGTTGGCTCCCGATTTGTTTTTGTTTTTTGGTGTTAACATTTTCCCACCTTAATTACAAACTTTCCAATTTCTCTTCTTAATTTTGTCAATGTCAGCTTTGTTTCAGATGTATATGAGGTCATATGAATTTGAAAATCTTACATATTCCTGGTAAATGGCCTTTTAGTTATCATGGGACTTCCTCTTTATCTCTGCTACAGCTTAAATTCTGTGATTATTATAGCCACAACACATTTGTCCCTGTTTCCATATTAGGGCATGGGGTGATAGTATAGATTGAACTCAGGACCTTGTGTTTATAAGGCAAGCACTCTACCAACTCCAGCCCTTATTTGCACTGGTTATTGTGTATATGTTGTTGTGTAAGCTCTTGTTCACCTTTCTTGCTCATAACAGGTGCTCTACAACTTGAGCCATGCCTCCAGTCTGGCACTTTGCTCATTAATTGGAGATGGAGTCTTGCAGACTATTCTGTCTGGGCTGCCTTTGTTTTTTGTTTTCGTTTTTGTTTATACGTATGTTTTGCCAATCCTGGGCCTTGAACTCAGGGCCTGGGCACTGTCTCTTTTGCTCAAGTCTAGCACTCTACCACTTGAGCCACAGCACCACTTCTGGCTTTTTCTGTTTATGTGGTACTGAGGAACCAAACCCAGGGTTTCATGCATGCTAGGCAAGCATGCTACCATTAAGCCACATTCCCAGTTGAACTTTGGTTATTTTTGAAGTAGGGTCTCATTTTATGCCCAATCCTCCTACTTGTGCTTCCCATGTTACTGGGAATGACAGGTGTC